CCCAGGAATCCCCTTCCTTGGGTTTCCTAGCGCTTTTGCAGCGGAAAAATCCGCAATAAAGCATTTCTAGAAATGCGGCTTGACACTCCTTGTAGAAAATCAGGACAAGGGCCCTGAAGAATTTCGATCTTTTATGTAAAACAAATTAATCCAAATTTCAGGACCGAGATCTTAGGCGATCTACCGTCCAAAATGGATCGGAATCTATTTATATTCGTTTAGTGGAAGTGTTTTTGTTGCGACGAAAGCGGAGCGAGTCTCCTCTTTGCAAACTTATATAAAGTCATATAATGTCGTCTATGCGCCAAGTAGAAATAACACGACATTAAACGACATTAAACCCGTTTTTTAAAGGGTGTGGGGAGAGAGAAAGTCATCCTGCAAATCCGATCTACAGTATTTTAAAAATTATTTTCGGTTCTGTATCGCAGGTATCCCAGTCTGACTCGTTTAAGGGGGTTGCAGACTGCTAGAAATAGTGCAAATTGAGTCCACTTTTAGGGTTAGGTTAGTGCTAGGGAATCATGGGAATTGGTTTTTTTTCCTGAGACATTGAGCCTTCACTGTCAGAGAGCTCTGGTGCCACAATAAAATACAGTTCCCATGATTCCCTAACCCTAACCCTAACCCTAAAAGTGGACTCAATTTGCACTATTTCTGGCAGTCTGCAACCCCCCCTTAGTTTCCGCAGGAGAAACTCCGCATCCGCAACCGCAGAAACAATCCGGTTTGACACCACTTAAAATGCCATGGCTCCATGCTACGGAATTCTAGGAATTGTAGTTTCTGGGAATTGTTATTCTGGAATTCCCATGGCAGTTAAAGTGGTGTCAACCCGGATTATTTCTGCAGCGTGGATGCAGCCTGATTTAGTTGCAGTTTATCCATTATTCCAATGTTGTTGGAGATGCAGCTTCCTCAGGACTGTTTTTCTCCTTTTTCTGAGAAGGAATAATTTATTCCATTATTTATTCCATTGAAAGGAATAAATTATTCGGCTTCTCAAGTTTTCTCGTCAAAACGCCTTTGTATCAAAGAAATTATCTGATTCTAAAACTTATCTCCAAATAAAAGTTTGGTGGCACTCCTGTAAATTGTCTTTATACACCCCCTTTGTTCGTACTATTTAATTTAATTTAATTTTCAAAACACCACTTTTGGCCTATCTTAAAAATTAATAATAATAGTAATAATAATAATCCCCCAAAACTATGAGAACCGATGACCATAATCAGTGTATTTTTGTGGAAAGGAGAAGGTTATTCTCTTATTCTTTTTCTTTCTTCTTTTTGGACTGTCACTCCCAGAAGTGACATCTTAGAAGGACAGACATCTGGTTGCATTTTTCTTGAATGTCCGACATTTTGTGATGCCTGAGTTGTCCTCCTTTGTGGTTAGGAGGACATCTGGTCACAATTTTCTTGAATATCCGACATTTTGTGGTGCCTTGTACTCCTTTGTGGTTAGGAGGACACCTGGTCACAATTTTCTTGAATATCCGACATTTTGTGGTGCCTTGTACTCCTTTGTGGTTAGGAGGACACCTGGTCACATTTTTTATTGAATGTCCGACATTTTGTGGCGCCTAAGTTGTCCTCCTTTGTGGTTAGGGAGATGTCTGGTTACCCTGCCCGGGCTCCTTCCATTTCTGTCGACCTGCAGCCATTTCTCGTTTTGTTTTTTGAGATGTTGTTATCTTGTAAGCCGCCTTGGGCCCCTTCCTGGGAGAAAGGCGGCATAAAAACAACAACAATTTCCCCTCCAAAAAATTATGATAACCAATGACTATAATCACTATGTGTGTGTGTGTGTTTGTGTGTGTGTGGACATTCTTTTTCTTTATTCTTTTTGGACTGTCACTCCTGTCCAGGAGGCATTTCAAGACGTCCTCCATTTTGAGCAGGACTGAGAAGCACGAATGTGGATTTTATAGAAGAGATCTTGTAGCCCCTTTGAGACTCATTGAAAGAAAGAAGGAGGCAGCATGAGCTTTCCTAGACTTCAGACTACTTCCTCAGATGCATTTAGTGGAGTGGAAACCAGGGACATATATA